TAGGTAGGTCCTACCCTTGCAGTTAGAGTGGAGGCTTCCAAAGCCAGATACTATATAAAATATATAAATAAAGACATGTCACCTGAAGGCTTAATCTTAACGTTTTCTAGAGGGAATAGTGGGCTTCAGGGAAATAGAAGAATCAAGATAAATATCAAGTTTGTGTTAGGAAAACTTGGTGTGTGATGACTCTCTTCTTCAAGACAGGGAATTCTGCAAGGGGAACAGGTTTGGAGGAGGAAGCGGAACAGATGACTTTAGTGAAGTGCCACATTCTATACGTTTTTCTGGGAGACTCTCAAAGATTATTAGAAAAGAAAAGATTTTGAGATATGAAATCTTGGCCAAGTGAACATATTATTACTGTGTTTAGCCCAGAGCTTCCTGAATGATTAAAGATAGTGTTGACCTAAAGAAAGAAACTCAGGCAAAATTAATATAGGCACAAAGTTTATTTGGGCCAGCGTTGAGGAGTCCAGCCTGAGAAACACTAGGAAGTGCAAAGGACCAATAAGGAGACGGGCAGTTACAAAAGTTGTTTGCTGGGAATTCTCATTGGTTCACAGAAGTAACATTGATTGGCCATATACATTGTTGAACTGTAGAGTATGAGTTATGTCTCCAGCATGTGGCATTGTTAGGTGAATCTATGGCTACTTGGCCTCACTCAGTGTAGGGCCCACATAACAAAAGGAGATTACTTAGGTCGAGGGAGGAGTGAGAGGTGACTGCTGTCACATTTCAATGCCTCACAGGGGCTGATAATTTAAAGGGGCTCACTTCCTCAGATAAAAAAGTTTCCTTTCTTTCCTAGTAGTTTTATTTTTATCCTTCTTATTCTATTTTATTGAGACAGAGTCTGGCTCTGTTGCCCAGGCTGGAGTGCAGCGGTGCGATCTCAGCTCACTGCAACCTCCACCTCCTGGGTTCAAGTAATTCTCCCACCCCAGCCTCCCGAGTAGTTGGGATTACAGGCACGTGCCACAGTGCCCAGTTAATTTTTTTATTTTTAGTAGAGACAGAGTTTTGCCATGTTGGCCAGGCTGGTCTCAAATTCGTGACCTTAAGTGACCTGCCTGTCTCAGCTTTCTGAAGTGCTGGGATTACAGGCCTGAGCCACCGAGCCTGGTCTCTTTCCTAATAGGTTCTGGGAATCCTACTGTATACAACGTAAGAAGAGAAGCAGAGCTAGGATGGAACCGTGAGAACAGCTAACTTTTAAGGAATGGCTGGAGGAATTTGGAAAGGAACACCCAGAGAGGTAGGAGGGAGTTGTAACGGCTGGGGTTTAATCCCAGCTCAGTTCTTCCATAGACATTAGGAAAACTAAGTCTCATGTCTTACTGTGGAACAGCAAGGACTGTGTGGGCCATTATCTGGGAATGTGGAGAGCTCTTTGGAAGAAACAGTGTACTCGATGTATTCAAGCACTTCCAGTTTCAACTGAAAGGGACCCATGACATTATTATTTTTTCTTCTCAAAGAAACCACCCGTTTAGCTAAAAGGAAACCCATATTAACACTCAGTTCCGAGTACATGAGAATAATCCAACAGCTACTCCTGAAACGATAATGAATCATCTTAAATTAGATGTAATGTAGAAGACAATACAAAACTTTAACACACAAAAAGAGATATTCTGAGTTGCGTTAGTTACATCATTCTTCCCCTATCATCTGGGACTAGACTTAAACTTTCCTTTAATAGTTTATTTTAATCTCAACTATATTAGATTAAGAAAAAATTTCTGGCTGGGCACATGCCTGTAATCCCAGCACTTTGGGAGGCCAAGGCAGGCAGATCACGAGGTCAGGAGCTCAAGACCATCATGGCCAGCATGGTGAAATCACATCTCTACCAAAAATACAAAAATTAGCTGGGTGTGGTGGTGTGCACCTGTAGTCCCAGCTACTTGGGAGGCTGTGGCAAGAGAATCACTTGAACCTGGGAAGCGGAGTTGTAGGAAGCTGAGATCCTGCCACTGCACTCCAGCCTGGAGACAGAGCAAGATTCCGTCTCAAAAAAAAAAAAAAAAAAAAAAATTCTACTGTGCATGGAAAGCTGAGAAAGGGTGAAAAATGTACATGGTGCTTATGCTGGTGGGATTGTATAATGGTGTAGTCACTCTGGAAAACAATTTCGCATTTCCTCAAAAAATTAAACATAGAGTTACCTATACGACCGAGCAATTTCGCTCCTAGCTATACAAGCAAGAGAAAGAAAAACATGTCCACACAAAAACTTGTATACAAATATTTATAGCATCATTATTTGCAATAGATAAAAGGTAGAAACAACCCAAATGTCCATCAACTGATGAGTGGATAAACACAATGTCGTATATCCATACAAAGGAATATTATTCAGCCACAAAAAAGAATGACGTTCATTGAGATAGCATATGGATGAACCTTGAAAACACTATACTGAGTTAAAGAAGCCAGACACAAAATGCAACAATTGTTTGATTTATTTATATGAAATGTCCAGAATAGGCAAATGCATAGAGCCAGAAAGTAGATTAGTGATTGCCTAGGGCAGGTGAAAGGCAGAATGGTGAATGCTAATGGATATAGGATTTCTTTGAGGGATGACAAAAACGTTCTAAAATTATGGTAAATAGTAGTGATAGATGCACCGTTCTGTGGATATACTAAAATTACTGAGTTGTACAAGTTGTATACTTTAAAAGGGTGAATTTATAGTGTGTGAATTATATGTCTCAATACAGCTTTATTTAAAAATAAAAGAAAACATAAGGGGGATTAATTTTTTCTTTTCAAGATATCTAGTTCTTCAACACCCAACTGCCTTATTACCAACAGTTTATGTTCACAGCTGTGCAGCAGCTGAGAGGTGGTCAGTCTTATTCCCAATTCCCTGCTTTTCCAGAATAATTTTAGATGGTCAGATGAATCTATCTCCAATCAAAATGCATTTTTCTGCTAGTGCAAATAACATTCAACTGTTGGTTTCTAATGTATTGGTACCATCAGCTTTAACATTTGTGTAACATGACATAGAGCATATTCATTTATACAGTTTATCAGTACATTTTTAGGTCACTTTTCTAAAAGTCAGGTTTATTGAGATATAAATCATATTCAGTCAAATTCATCTGTGAGTTACATCAGTTTTGGTGGATATTTATAGTAACCACCACCATACTTGAGATGTAGACTATTTCCATCCCTCTAAAATGTCTCTTCACACCCTTTGTAGTCAACTTCCCCTCCCCACCTCCAGCCCTTGCCATCCCCTGATCTAATCTCTGCCCTTAGGGCACTTTTCATTTCCTGTTCTGTGTTCTCATGGTTCATCCTGAGATGAATCTCTACCAGCTGGGATCCTGGTTTGTAACCCTACAGTGCCCAATGTGCTACCTGGCACCTAAAAGGTGCTCAGTAAATGGGTGCTGAATAAATGAATGAATATTTTGTTTTTCAGATTCTACCAAATCATATTGGAGACTTTGTTTTCTGATTTCCAGGATGTACCCTTTGAAAGGGGCTATTTATACTGGGAAAGGCCTTCTTGTAGACTCTTACATAACCTTCCAAAAAATGGGTCATAGTGGATTCCAACTTCAGAGATTTTGCTGAGCATTTCAAATGTATCCTCAGACTTGGGGCTTACAACTTTGTCTGACTAGCAAGTAGATGGAAATATCCTCTCTCAACTTGAGCAAGTAGATGGAAATAGACTCTGGGACCATATGGAGCTGTTTTCTCCTCCTGCCTCTGCCCCCATCTTTGATCCCTCCATCTCCACATGACATGGCCCCAGAGTCACATCCAGAGCTTCTCTGAACAGGTTCTGTGAGATTCCAGACCAAGTTTATGAAGAACTCTAGGGGCAGAATCAACAACTGCTTGACGCCTTCTTATCACGCAGGGTGTGGCTCTGTGAAAACCCACCTGCAGATGGCTCATCAGTCAGGCTTGGATCTCATTGTTCCTTCTTGAGCTAATTCCTCTTCTATCTTGATGTATGTGAATCAGAAACTAAACATTCCAGCCAGGTGTGGTGACACGCACCTGTAATCCCAGCACTTTGGGAGGCTAAGTGGGAGAATTGCTTGAGGCCAGGAGTTTGATAGCATCCTGGGCAACATAGTGAGATCCCATCTCTACACACACACACACACACACACACACACACACACACACACAAGCCAGGCATGGTGATACATGCTTGTCATCCCACCTACTTGGGAGGCTGGGGTGGAAGGACACTTGAGCCCAGGAGTTCAAGTGAGTTCAAGTACAGTGAGCTATGATTGCACCACTGCACTCCAGCCTCAGTGACAGGGTAAGACCCTGACTCCAAAAAATGAAAGAAAGAAGGAAGGAAGGAAGGAAGGAAGGAAGGGAGGGAACATTCCAGAGCAAGTATAATAGGCAGTGAACAAAATTCCCCTTTGCCCTGACAGTTCTATGAAATGGACTAGTCCTCAAATAAAATTGCCCTTTCTTGAAAAGTGTGGGTACTTTCCTCCAGACCGTCCCACTATATTTAAGCAGAAGGCTCCCCACGCACTTTCTGGCGGTGACAGCCCCCTGCTGTGCCCTCCGAACACAGATACTACCAAAAACCCATTTCACCTTTAAGATGATGCACCTTGCCTCTAAGATGAAGCCTTGATGCTGGCATCCTAAGGCATCCAAATAAAACCTCATTCCCACCAGACGCGGGACTTACGCCTGTACTTTGGGAGGCAGAGGCGGACGGATCACCTGAGGTCGGGAGTTAGAAACCAGCCTGACCAACGTGGAGCAACCCCGTCTCTACTAAAAATACAAAATTAGCTGGTCATGGTGGTGCCTGTCTGAAATCCCAGCTATTGGGAAGGCTGAGGCAGGAGAATCGCTTGAACCCGGGAGGCGGAGGGTGCGGTGAGCTGGAATGGCGCCATTGCACTCCAGCCTGGGCGACAAGAGCAAAGCTCTGTCTCAAAAACAAAACAAAACAAAAACCTCATTCCCTTTTTTCCTCCTTTGTCCTCACACGTGCACGCCGTGGCTTCCCTAGAGCAGCTCTGGTAGACCCATAGTTCCTGCTCCTAGGGGACAGCTACACAATGTAAACCTGCACCGAGATGAAAACCTATTCCAAGGTCAAAGGTTTCACGGTGGGAGCTCCTTGGTACCATGATAAGGTTCTGTTACACGCAAAGTAAACGAAATACCAAAGAGGTCTTAATTTTTTGCTACATGGAGTAATTATTAGTTAATCAAAGGGAGACAAAGAAATTCTTTCTACAGTAAGGGTGACAGGGAGGGGATTGTGGGGGGCGTGTTGAGGGTGAGTGGGGAAGTGGAGATAGGGAAGCTTCAGAAAAAGAGGGAAAAAATGGGGTCTAAGTAGAGGAAAGCTTATATTCCTCATGAAAATCAAAAGCCGTGGCTGTCAAACTTTTGTGTTAGTAGTACCATTGTGAAAACATATTTTACTGCGTTGTGCGCGCCTCACGCCCGCGCACACACAGGTGTATAATGGAAATCAATTTAAAATAAAATGTTGCCTAGCTAGCTATAAGCGCAGGACGTGTGTGTGTGTGTGTGTGTGTGTGGCCGCGAACAGCCGGATCCGGGCGGAGCGCACCCTCAGGCCGCGTCTCCCAGGCCGCACCAGCCTGCCTGACCGCGCGGAGGAGGAGGGCGGGCGCGGTGCCACCGGGGCGGGAAGGTCGCTGGCGAGGGCTCCGGGCTGCAGCTCCCGCGGCGGTGGCGGCGGCTCTGTACGCGGCGCGGGATGCTTGCTCAGGACTGTCAGGCGGCCGCGACGCCAGAGCCTCCCGGGCCCCCTGCCCGCGACTGCGTGGCCGCCTGGTGGGACATGGTCGAGCGCAACCTGCGGTGAGTTCGCTCCAGCTCGGTCCTTGGCAGGGCCCCGACAGCTCGGCCTGCGAGGGGATGGGGCAGCGGGCGAGGGCGCGGCCGAGGCGGTAACCAGCTGTGCCGACCTGAGCCGGAGGACCCACACGGTGGCTCCCAGCGGACTTTGACGGTCCGCTGCGAACTCTAGGACTCTGGTTGCCTTTGGTATCCTCAGCCTCAATCCCAACCTGGACCAGCGAGACCCTCGAGACTCTCGGATTTGGTATTTCAGGAAGTTATAACTTTGGGGGGGCGTCCGAAATACAGATGCCAGAGAGATGGTTGGATTTCTACACCAATCTCTATTATCTGACCATTTTGGTAACAAACAGGATGGATCTGAATGACACTAGTAATAGTGACAATAGTAATATATGTTGTAATCTTCCATGGCGTCCTCTTAGGTCAAGGGCCTATCTGTGTAGGTGGAAAAGGATCAGAAAATCCCTGCCTAGCTCCCTGAGTGTGAACTCCCTGGCATGCATTTGAAGAACACACCTCCACTATGCTAAAGATGTGTATAGTATGTTGAAACCATAACTTGGCATTACCTGTGCCAAGTTCTTACATTGTTTAAGTCTGAAATGTCTGTATATCAGCGGGTGTTTTTGGATTTTCTTTGTTTTCTTCCTCCCATGGATCCTCGTTGTAAACAGTAACCTTAAATTACCTGAATCCACATGCAACATGTTGGCAGTCTTGTTTGCCCTGAAGCCAGGTATTGGTTGCAGATCCTGGACCCAGGACAAATGGGTATTTCATTTAGTTTTGTTGGTGTGGAAAGATATTGGCGTTTTTGTTTCCCTCTTTCTATTCCTTTTGTTTAATTTGTGCTGATTATAAAATATCCAAAAACTGGGGCCAGGTGCAGGGGCTCATGCCTGAAAAATCCCAGCACTTTGGGAGGCTGAGGCAGACCGAGCACGAAGTCAGAAGATGGAGACTGTCCTGGCTAACACGATGAAACCCCGTCTCTACTAAAAATACAAAATGTTAGCTGGGCATGGTGGCATGCACCTGTAGTCCCAGCTACTTGGGAGGCTAAGGTAGGAGAATCACTTGAACCCAGGAGGCAGAGTTTGCAGTGAGCCAAGATGGCACCACTGCACTCAAACTTGGGTGATGGAGAAAGACTCCATTAAAAAAAAAAAAATCAAAAATCACATCTAGACACAGGAGATCTCACTTTGGAGTTCCTAGAGTGATGTGACAAACAGGGGTCTCCCTTCCTTCCTTCCTTCCTTCCTTCCTTCCTTCCTTCCTTCCTTCCTTCCTCCTTTCTTTCTTTTCTTTCTTTTTCTTTTGACAGGATCTCACTCTGTTGCCCAGGCTGGAGTGCAGTGGCACAATCTCGGTTCATTCCCAGGGCTCAAGCAATCCTCCCACCTCAGTCCCAATAGCTGGGACTACAGGCACCTGCCAACACACTGGGCTAAATTTTAAATTTTGTGTAGATATGGGTTTTCACTACATTGCCCAGGCTGGTCTCAAACTCCTGGAACTCACAGGTTCCACCTGCCTTGGCACCCCAAAGTGTTGGGATTACAGGTGTGAGCCACTGTACCTGGCCTCTTTTCTCTTCTACTTATTTTTATTCTTGGCAGCTCTGTAGGGGCTCAGTCATTGCCTTCCAGCTCTGTGTTGGATCTGAACACCCAGCAGAATGTCCTGATGGCACTTGTCAAGCTGCACATCAACAGGACTTCTCTCCCAGATGTGGTGATTCTGGGAACGTTGCGATCTAATGCCTCTCACTTTCATGATCTCCGTGGAATTGATGGCTGATTATTTAACATTTATTTGACAGTAAAGGGCATTTATTAGGCAGAGAATTGAAGTTTCACTTCACTTGTAGAGAAAAACCCACTTTGTTGATAATGGAGTGGGAGATGGGGAGTTGGGGACCAACTATTACTTGCATCACTAATTAGTGAAAAAAGTCTCAAGAGACACTTCCTGAAAGAATAAAATACTAGTGCATGTCTTCATCTGAACAGAAGATTATTGGTCTAATGTAAGATGTGCTGAGGCTGAGGCCCAGACCCACTTCCACCATCCCAAGTCCTCTTTGATTCTTGGAGCCGGGCTCATTCAGATGAGCAAAACTTCATGGAGGGCTTGCCATGCCCCTGGCCCTGATTATGGCTCTGGAACTGGTGGGATGTGTTGTGAGACCCAAGAAGAACATTTCATCATATGATTTTTTTCAGTGGCTATTTTTTCATGCCTTGGGGATCTAGTTATTTATTTTACAATTTTTAAAAATCAAATCCAGTTGCTGCTTAAGGTGTATGGGCCCAGGAGAGTAAGTCTCCACCTTACAACTGGTTTTCTTTAAAATAGAAAAATGAAAAACATACTCTAGAAGGAAGTTGGGGGAAATCAAAGCTTTATTTTCCTCCTCATTTCCCTTTATTTCATCCCAAGTCATTATGATCCTAGATAGTGCTCAGAAAATGTCCATGAGTAGAATGGCAAATGTATTCATTCTTCCCACAGCGTTGGCTCTTTATTGTCTATTGGGCACTATTCTAGTCTTGGCTATACAGCAGTAAATAAAACAGACAAAACTCCTTGCTCTGTGGAGCTCACATGGATTCATTTGGAATAGTAAGTAAAAAAAGAAAGAAAGCCCTTCCTCTTTTCCCCAAAGCTAACAATAAATATTGCTTCCTTCTCCCTTTCAAAAGAAATGCACTTTCTTTCCATTTTCAAACTATGCATCAATACATATGTACTGAGCTCAGCCCTGAGCTAGACAGAATGAAATGTAAAGGAAGTTTTCTATGCCATGTTGTTCTTTTCTGTGGCCTGATAGAGTTGGGAAGACAGTGCTTATAATGTGAAAGCCATCAGCAAACAATTCAAGGCCAGCCCAGGCCCTGTTATTATTTGTGGGAGGGGAGACAAGAAAGGAAAGGTCATCATGGAATGATCTCTCCAGAGACTTTGACAAAAAAAGAGATACTTCTGTGGGTGTGAAAGGCTGGGAGGGTGTCTCCTGGTGCTTGGTGACCAATACATGTCAGCTGAATGAATTGGCACATAGGTTGAAGGTACATGCCTTAAAATTTGGAATAGTAAATGTATTCCAACTTCGGCTTCCGGAAGTTGGTTTGCAGAAACCTCTGAGCCTGAGTGATTTACCCTGTAGCAGCTCAGACTCCGCCAGCTTTCACCAGTAAGAATCATCCAGTTAGGTTCTGAGGCCCCCGTGGGACGCTGTGTGGTTACAGCTGCAGCTGATGAAAGGGCAAATGAAAGAACACCAAAGCACCAAGGTGACCGTTTGATGTGGCTGTCCGTTAGCTCGGATTGGTTTGAAACTGCATCCTCCGCTCAAATAAGATCTATTAGCCACTGGTGAATTTTGATCCCCTACTGATCTAGGGGAAGTCAAATTGACAACCCCCTAGTTAAAAGAAGCTGCTTTGCATTATTGATGCTCTGAGGATCTGGTCACTCTGTTCTCTGCGCGAAGTGTATCTCAGAGAAGTGCCTCGAGCTATTTGAGAGAAGGGTTCTGTATGAATTATTCCCTAAAAACAGACACACATTTCCCTCTACTGCCTCTGCTTCCCAAGCAGATCTTCAGAACATAACTTAGCGGGAGACTACCCTGCCTACCTTCAAAAGACAGCTTAGCAGGAGACTAACAGGCAGGGTGGCGGTGAGTGTCAGGAGCTTAGGGGGAAGCCAGCAGGAGCCAGAGGCTGGAACGAAGCATAGTCAGCCTGTGTTCAGTTCTGTCCATTTGGGCTTGATCTGTGGCTCAAAGTGGCTTCTCTGGGTTTTGATTTTTTATCTCTAAAATCAGAACAACAACATTCTCTCCTTCCTGCTGCCTTCATGGGGGGGGTGGTGGGGTGCTATTTTAAAGTATTATGAAACATTTTCGTTTCTTTCTTGCTGATTTTATGAGTAGGCAATTGCCCATGTATGATGTATTTGAAGAGCTAGCCATTAGTCTTAGCCCACATATCTTTTCCACTTCTTGCAGAACTGCTGGAAATTCATCAGAAATTCATTATCTTCTCCTTTCATGCCTCTTCCAAACACATATAAGTGCTCTGATTTTTAAAGTCATTAACACTTTAGGGGGAATTTTTTTTTTAGAGGTCTTTATTTGATGACTTTGTTATCTGAGGGCTCCTGAGAACACAGGAGCAGCAAGGAGGAAAGGAGAAAGGACCCTGAGAAGGCTAAGACGTGGAAGGGGATCTTAAAGCAAGACTGACTACAAGCAGAATTTTGCCAGAGGCCAGCCTGGCTCCTGGGGTTCATTTCTGCTCACCTGGATGTTACCAGGACTATGGGATCAGACAGCAGGTTATGTGTGGCTTTGCCATTCTTTGGCTTGTGACCTTGGAAAGAGTAGTTAACTCTCCAGTCTCATTTGCAAAGCAAAGGTAATGATTATCTTCCAAAAATGCCTCCAGTCTAGCAGAGGAATCAGGGCAGGGGGAAACAATTTATCAAAACTGCTTTCTAGCCTCTCAACCTTATCATTTGGCTACATTAAACAGTCTTAACAATGACCTCTCAAACATGGAAAGGGACTTATTTAATGGATAATGTGGGCAAAAACTGGAATGTAGTGCTTTAGGGCACCACAGGGTCGCGGGGTGTCCCTTATGTTGTGCTGAGGTGCAGGATCTGAGAAGTAAAGAGACAGGACACTGAAGAACTGGTGAAGAGCAGCTGAACTCGAGGGACCATGAAACGTATGAGCAGACATCAGCGAGAGTCCCAAATGCCCAGAAGCATCTCTATTTATTAGGTACAAGCAGGGAGCAGGGTCGTGAGTGAGGTCATTATCTATAGGCTTAGTAATAGGGCATACATAATCATGTGGGTCACAAGTGAAGGGGCCGCCCCATTATGTCACCTGGGCAGAGAGGTGGGCTGCGCGCAGTAGGGGGCCGTGCCATGCGCAGTAGAAGATCGTGTACAGAGAAGGGGTCCACCCCCGTTAGATCACCGAGGCAAGGAGGTGGGCTGTGTGCAACATGTGTCATGCACAACACTTCTTATCTGGGGGCTGGAGACTTCAAAGGATTTCTAATAGAAGGATACCGTAAGCCAATGTAATGGGAGCTGACAGACTTGTGCTCTTCTCTTAAAGCATTTATGGGAGGATGATTTGAGCTAGCACAGAAGTGAGAAAAGACAGACAGGCTGTACAGCTGCCATGACTCTTCACATCAGAGGGGTTCTTCTCCCTCAGTTACTTCCAGAATCTCAGGCCTGAGGCCTAATTTCCACAGGAACTGGATGCAAGGTACTACAACTCCTTTATCAGGAGGAGAGGCCCTTGCTCCAAGCCTGCCATACAGCGTTTGCCCTTTCAGGCAGGGTCGCCACCGCCTGGGTCTTTGGTTCTTGTCCTAGGCTGGCTATTTTCCCATGTACTGCTTCTGTTCTGTGACTGCTCTAGGCATTTCTCCTACTACAAACCACTATATGGTTATATGGAAGGATTCTATAAATCAGCACTAAGTGTGTCAGTACAGCTCCGACTACAATACCTACAGGATTAGATAGATTTTATAGAACTAAGTATGCTAGATATAAGCATTAAGTATGATTATATAAGCTAGATATATGTAAGCAGTAAGTTATACTTCAGGTATTAATTCTATAAACTAATATATGATTATATATAAAGGATTATATAAAGGAAATAGCTGAGTAATAACACTATAAGGCATTCTTCAGGCACTAATTGTGCCTGGGGTCTGGACAGTTCTTCCTCAGTGCCCATGGGGGGTATTACCCATACTGGAAGCAGGAGATGATGACCTTGACCTCCTGCATCCCTATCTCTCTAAGACCTTCACAAGAGAGGCAGCTTGAGACAGAGGTGTCCTTAGTGACCCCTTATGGACAAACTGTCACTTGTGTGCTGACAGCTCCTGATTGGGTGGTTTGTGTCATAGGGAACAGTAGCGTACGCAAGATGTGTGTGCGCCCATCCCACTCCCCGAGCAGGCTGCAGCCCTGTGCCTCATGGGTCCCTCTCTTCAGGGATCTCATCTCAGAAGTGGGGTCTTCTCACACTGGCTCATTTCTTCCAGAATAGAGAGGATCTAAGGATTATTCTCTCCCTGATTGAGACTAATGATAATAAAGCTAACACATATAGTGCAGAATTGTGACATAATTAAAAACTGCGGTGACTATTAAACTGTCTGAATTCTGTTTGCTGGTGACTTTGGGGTCCATCCTCAGCCTTCTATGGGGCTATAGTAAGGGACCAAACCTGGCTGTGGTGCAAACATTGTCCCTTCTCCTGTCCCTGTCATGCCCTGACTTTTTCAGCTACTGGTTGGGGCCCTGCCTTATTGCTCTCCTTATCTGGTTTCCCCTTGGTGCCAGTCTTGACCTGCCCTGTAGATAATTCCATGTCATTGTGTAAAACATTTTGCTTAAATGCCAAGTGACCTGGAATTCTCAGTGTTAGTCTCTGAAATTTGGGGGCAGATCACCTGAGATCAGGAGTTCGAGACCAGCCTGGCCAATATGGTGAAACCCTGTCTCTACTAAAAATACAAAAATTAGCTGGGCATGGTGGTGCGTGCCCATAGTCCCAGCTACTTGGGAGGCTGAGGCAGGAGAATTGCCTGAACCCGGGAGGCAGAGGTTGCAATGAGCTGAGATTGCACCATAGCACTCCAGCCTGGGCAACAAGAGCAAAACTCCTTTTCAAACAAAAGAAGAAGAAGAAGAAGAAGAGAAAGAAAAAAAGAAAAATACAAACCAAGACAAAAGGATTAATTTTGAAAACCTCGTGTGTTTCCTAATATCTTGCAGATCTTTTCCACACTCCTGTTCAACGCTTGGAAGAAAAATTGCTGCTCTGTATGACAGCTTTACTAGTAAATCCTTAAAAGAACATATTTTCCCTCCTCTGATAGACATGCTAATTTATTTTAATTTTTGTAAGTATGGACCTTCCATAAATTTGTCTACATTATTTTTCCTAAATAAAGACCTCACTGCCCTTCTGGTTGGGATGTAACGAACAGACATGTCCGCTGTAAAATTGTGGCTAGATTGAAATGGTCTGAAACTTATTTAATATTGACTTTGAAGTCTAGCAGGAATCCTTGCAAACTGCTGGGAGTAAAGAGAGATGCATGGGCTTGTAGGCAGGGCTTCAATTCCAGAGCTGACTGCAAATTAATTAGTTGTTAATATGGATACCTAACTGCTTACTGTATTCTCTGCCTTTCTTCTTATCTGCATCCCTTATAGATGAGAGAGAGAGAAAGAGAGTGAGAGAGAGAGAGAGAGAGAGAGAAACAGAGAGAGAGAATGGTACTGATGTAAGGAATCTATTTTTCCTGTTTTTTCCTCTACTGAACTATGTGTTAGTCAATGTAACACAGTCCTTCCAGTTCTTGCCTGCTTGCCTCCTGGTGTGTGAAGTCTGGATGTTTCTTGCCTTTTGGCTGATGATTAGGTTTCACTGAAGTAGCAGAATACTTTTCTTAGGCTTTTTTACCTTCTTAGGGGAATGGTCTCCTCTGCTTTTAGCTGGAGACAAGGATAGGGATTGAGTAACTCTATTTCTCTATTATGAGCTGCCACACTGATGCTATTTTAAAATCCAGCTTTTAGGTTTTGGTTTTCTGCCCCTCTTCTGCAGGCTAGTCCTAGTTGATAAAATAAAATACTCTGCTAGGAGTTTAGTGTCGTAGCTTGCAACTTAGAAGCCTGTTAACCTATGTAGGCTAATTCTTTTCTTTGATTGTGATTAAAAGGCATGGGGTTTAATTTTTGGAGTTGATAATGATTTTTACTTTCCAGTCAAAGCCCCATTTCTTGTGGATTTAAAGAAACCAGAGTTAAAGATTCCTCACACAGTGAACTTCTACCTGAGAGTTGAACCTGGGGTGATGCTAGGGATCTGGTGAGTGCATGGATGGGCCACTGGGTTGCTTGATGGGGCAGGTTTTCCTGTTAGAAGGATACAGAGGAGCAGTGCTTTGTTACCTGCCCATGGAGAGGTGGGTGCTCCTGGAGGTACCTGGAGGCTGTTTCATACAGCTTCCTCTTCTGTTGATTTGCTTGATTTTGCTTTCTAAGAATTTTGCTTTGGAATACAGACTTTTAGATGTTGCCCTTAGCTTCTGGCCTCACCTGCCCCTTCTGCCGTATTCCATACCACCCTTGCCTTCATGACCTCAAATCTGCCCTCCCAAGACATCTTCTATTTCTCAGCTCTCTGCTTTCTCTCTCCTAACTGCCTTCTCATCTACTGAGTCTCACTTGAGTTGATAGTTTTTAAGAACGCCTTTCTTCACTGCCTATTTTAGGTATGTGCTGTCATGGCCACCTGGGCTTGTTCCTTTTGACAATTATTACCACTGTCATGAAATAAATGTTTCTGTGGGCTAGGCACGGTGGCTCACGCCTGTAATTCCAACACTTTGGGAGGCCCAGGCAGGCAGATCATGAGGTCAGGAGTTCAAGACCAGCCTTACCAACGTGGTGAAACCCCGTCTCTACTAAAAATGTAAAAATTAGCTGGGCATGGTGGTGGGTGCCTGTGATCCTAGCTACTCAGGAGGCTGAGGCAGGATAATCACTTGAACCTGGGAGGCAGAGGTTGCAGTGAGCCAAGATCATGCCATTGCACTTCAGTCTGGGCAATAGAGTGAGACTCTGTCTCAAAAAAAAAAAAAGGTGGGGGGATTGCCTCTATGCATGGGGACATGGGGTAGGACAGTAGTAGTTCTCATTATAAGACACTTTGTGGTGTTAGATTTTTATTTTTATCATGTGCATATATTACTAAGATAAAAAATTAAAATATATGTATATATATCATAAGGAGAGTTTCAGCCTTTGGCAAGGATGGAGAATTCCTCTCTCTACATTTGTTTAAACCTCCCTTGCTCTTCAGGCACACAGTCCCCAGCTGCCGGGGGGAAGATGCCAAGGGGAAGGACCGTGGCTGGTATGAAGCAGCCCTTCGCGATGGGAACCCAATTATTGTTTATCTTCATGGCAGTGCAGAACACAGGTCAGTGGCTCTGCTTACATTTTTTTTCTTTTAAGAGATTGAGAGCATTTCAGCCCCATGGGGAATGAAGAAGGACAGAGCTCCGTTTTTAACTCTGTAGGCATGCCTTCACATATTTCTTTTCCTTTGTTGAAATCTGAGGGTGTTCTGGCAATAAGCTTCACTTAAAAAGATTATTCTATATGTAGAATAATGTGGATCTCTAACTGAGAAGGAGAAAAGAATAACTCTTCCAAAACTTGGATGTTGATTTCAAAGAAAGGGATGATTCCTTTGCTCCCTAAGAGTGTCTGGAATGATGGGTTGAACCCATGAATGACAGGAAAGGGAATAGGCATGCATTATGGGGAAGGAAGAGCCATTTCCACATCAGTGACTTTTCAGAACACTGCAGTGGAGAGTCCCTTGTTCAGCTTTAATGCTACTAACCAAAAATATGACTCCTTACAGAGGTCACATGGAGTTCTGATCTCTGTACTGGGGACCATCTGACTAATTCTAATCTAGAATATTTAGGCCTCAGCCCATTCTCTATAGTCCCAAACTCACTTTGTAACAAAGAAGGTCTCCCAGGAGCCTGGCTCCCCTTTGATGTGCTGTCAGAGCCTTTCTGGGCCTGTATAATTATATTGGGTGATGATCATCAGCTATGACTGTGCCCCTTCAGCCTGGGGCAGGGGCGATGTGCCTGGGAAACCCACAGATCTCTTCCATCTTGGGAGGAGCACCTGCCTGTGACTCCCTTCCTCCCTGTCTTTATCTGGCAGGTGATGGCTTTCTCAAGACTTGCCTTTGCTCAAGGGGCTTTCTTGATGTGTCCATTTTAGAGCCACATTTACTGCAATTTCCTGTGAAACCCAGGAAATTTTCAACACAGTTTAACTTTGTATTGATTGTGTAAACTTGGGCATGATGTTACAATATACTTATTTAAAGGACCATGTGGATCACACAGGGTGTCTGTCATTCTGTGTAAATCTGCAAGTGGCTCAATGATCCCAGATTTCCTGGCTCTGGGGTGAGATACAGCTTACTTTTGCTCTCTGTCCAGAAGGGTCAGCTTTCTATCAGCAGTCCTGAGCTGCAAGTAATGAGTATCAGACGGTACTCTCCTCAAACAGGAGATTACAGGGAACCTGTGGAGGCAGCAAAAACAGTGGCTGTAGACTTGAAATCCATGGAAGCCTCAGAGGGCTCAAGAACTCCTCTCCACAATTGTACATAAAATTTGAAGTATGGATACATTTTTTTTCTTTGGAAATGGGTCCACAGCCTTAACTAGATTGTTCAGTTGACTATATGTCAAAATGCTCCATGACATATAAGTTTAAGAAACTTGGCTCTATGAAAAAATGCAAATAAATGGCTTTTAAGAGTTCTCTGCCTTTTGATGAGTAGTTTCCAGGGCTTGAGGGGTGAGGGAGGAAAGAATAGGCAAAGCACAGAGGATTTCTAGGGCGGTGGAAATCTTCTGGATGATACTACAATGGTGAATACATGTCGTTCTACATCTGTGAAAGCCCATAGAATATACAACACCAAGAGTGAGCCCTAATGTAAACCAGGCAATTTGGATGGTAATAATGTATCCATGTAGGTTAATGATTGTAACAAATGTACCATTGTGGTGCTTGGGATGTTGATAGAGTGAGAAGGTTGTGTGTGAGGACAGGGGTTATGTGGGAACTCTGTATTTTGTGCTCAGTTTTGCTGTGAACCTAAAACTTTTTAAAAAATAAATTTCATTAATTTCTTAAAAAAAGGAAACATTAAAAAGACCATCATGCTTCTTCCTGAAAATACAGGTCCAATCTTATTCCGACAAATATTACAGCAGAAGTCTCAGTCACAATAAAGACTACAGCTACTAACTTCTTAATCACAAACTTAAAATAACATCTACAATAAAATTAAATTTAAAAATTCTGGAAAGGACCTTGTATTTCATCATAATAAAATCGAATTTGTGGCTGCATTAGCATTGTGACATAATAAAAAAATTCTCTGTCTTGTGAATTAGCTCTGATGCTCTTGTATTAGTGTGGTTAATAGGAAGTAGACTATTTTTGGGAAGAAATGGTTTTGGTGCCTCTGGGGCTGTGAGCCTCTTTCCTTCACTTTGTCTTGCACTTAACGGCAGAGTGGACAGGATTTAGGCAAGTCTTAGTTTAGTATAGCTTGATGACATCGTCCCTTGTTCTGAAAGTCACTTTCTGGAGCCCATTTTCCTTTAGCTTCTAAGAGTATTATTAGAAATAAGTTTCACTGTGTAGAAGCAAAAAAAGGTGGATTATCAGCAGTTCATCAAATGCCGATATTGAGAAGCGATACAAAGATCTAGGCATCCAGCCCTCACTGAGAGGAACGCGGGCCCAGTGGGGAGCCATTGATCACTCACCCTGACGTGTCTGAGCGGGCTCTGACACCAAAAAGCATTTCCTTCTTCTAGTTATTTATTCCTCCAACCTGAAAGAGAAAGGTGCGAGATCAGAAACTAGCAGCAGGAGAGTGATTTATATTGAATCTGTCATCATCATTCCTAATTCGTGTTTTTTTTTTTAAACCTTCACAGGGCAGCTTCTCACAGACTCAGGCTGGTAAAGGTATGTCTGAAGACATTGCAAAGCACCTGTTTCATAAGTCCTCATCCATCCTGTTCGAGAGTCATGATATTTTCCTCGAGCCCTCAGTGTGGTTGTCTTTTGAGAGGTCTCCAGGGTACTGGTCAGGGTGGGTTGTGGTGTCTGGGGCTCAAAGTCCCACCAGTGGACTTCAGCTGCTGCATTGACCTTAGAGAATCAAAAGCAAAGTGAATTTCTCTGTCCCCAAATACCTTCATGAACTTACCAACTGCATTGCCAAATGGAGGTAAAGATATTTTTATTTGCTTTCTCTGAGGACTGGGGAATGGGTTGAGAGGGCTTTTTTTTTTTTTTTAGACTTGGTCCCCAGGCTGGAATGCAGTGGTGCAATCTTTGCTCACTCCAACCTCCAAGGCTCAAGTGATTCTCCTGCCTCAGCCTCCCGAGCAGCTGGAATTACAGGAGCCTGCCACTTTGCTCGACTAATTTTGTATTTTTTAGTAGAGACGGGGTTTCACCATGTTGGCCAGGCTGATCTCAAACTTGTCACCTCAGGTGATCCACATGCCTCGGCCTCTCAAAGTGCTGGGATTACAGGCAAGAGCCACCTCACCTGGCTGACATTTTTATTTGCTTTCTCTGAGGGCTGGGGTATGGGTTGAGAGAGTATTATTATTATTATTATTATTATTATTATTATTATTATTTGAGACAGAGTCTTACCCTGTTGCCCAGGCTGGAGTACAATGGCGCTATCTCGGCTCACTGCAACCTCTGCCTCCCAGGTTCAAGCAATTCTCCTGCCTCAGCCTCCCAAGTAGCTGGGACTACAGGCATCTGCCACCACGCCAGGCTAATTTTTTGTATCTTTAATACACATGGGTTTTCACCATGTTGGCCAGGCTGGTCTCGAATGCCTGACCTCGTGATCCGCCCACCTCGGCCTCCCAAAGTGCTGGGATTACAGGCGTGAGCCACTGCGCCTGGCCGAAAGAGTATTATTAAGGAGCAAAATGAGCACATCTTTTAAAAGAAGCAAACTTTTTCTTTTCTAGTGGTTATAAGTTAAAGACACAGAATATCTGCTTGTAAAAGTCTGAGTGTAGTGGCTCATGCCTGTAATACGAATGCTTTGGGAGGCTGAGACCAGGGTCTCAATGTAATGAGATCCTGTCTCTACAAAAAAATTTAAAAATTAGCTGGATATGGTGGTACATGCCTGCAGTTCCAGCTACTCAGGAGACTGAGGCAAGAGGATTGTTTGAGCCTGGGAGTTTGAGGCTGCAATGAGGCAGGATTGTGCCACCACACTGCAGCCTGAATGACAGAGTGAGAAGACCCTGACTTAAAGAAAAAAAGTCTTTGAAAAAAAGTCTTACATGAAAAGTCATGTAAGGCTCTGTGGAGTAGCATGTGGCCACATTTGCTCTCATCACTCCCTGCTGCATGACTGGTTTGCTGAGACAGCCCCTGTATTCCAGGTGTGCAGAAGATGGCAGGGTTTCCACCTATCTGCCTCAGAAATGGTTGAGCAAGCTGCCTCTTTATCCTCTTCCACCCTCTGCTTAGGTAATCTCTGCTGCAGTTGGCTGGCTGTTGACCACGGGGACTTGGTCTCTCCCCCACCTGCTGGCTCCCACCTCATAGTTCTTTCCTGATCAAACAATATTACTGCTCCAGAATCCTTGCAGTACCAGTATCTCCAGTGCTTTCTTCATCCTCCCTCCCCTGTGCAGACAGGAAGTTCCTCTACTGTCCCCTCCCCTCGTCCCTTCATCATTGCCTTCTCAGAGCCAATGCCTGTGGAGTGGTGGCCAGGCGAGTGGGGTTGGGGAGTGGGGTAGCTGTGTGTGGTGTTGCCTGGGAGGACCATGTTTATTCATTTTTAGGTTTGCTTTTCCCTCTGCACTCTGCCCTTTGCATTCCCCATGTGAAACAGTGAAGCTGATGTCCATGAGAATGTGCGTGCTTTTCCCCTCCCACTCAGAGCTGTCTCAATGTTCCCAAAAAGAAGAAGAGCTGTAGGTGTGAAGTGCAGCCAGGTGATCCTTGTGGCAGTTAGGATGGGTGGGGAAGGAGAGCATCTGGTATGGCAGGGCTTTGCCCCAGACAGACTGTGGGCGTCAAGTGTCAAGTGCTGCTGTCATCATCGCCCAGCAGGACCAAACTTCCTTAGCCCTTCGTTTCCTCCTCTGGATAGGTGATTTCTTTTAAAAAATAAATTTTCATTATTAAATTTTCATTCATGCATGTATGCATCACTGTGACAGACTAGTACAGCTATTTTCATTGATTTGCATTCCCACCTAGTTTTAATTTCTCCTTATAAAAAGCTTTTGTTACTACGATTGTATCTCTGTAATTTTATGTTGTGCTCTTTTACTTAACACTATTTTACAGACATTCTTCCATGTTCTCAGTCATCATAATTAACCAGTTTAAAGCTGTATCATTCTCCATTGTATTTATAAGCCATTGTCTACTTAACTGTTCCACTGCTGTAGGATATAAGATTTTTTTTTCTCCCTGCATTTGTTTTAAATAGTATCGTTTCAGAAAACTATAAGCATCTAGATTTTTCTTCTTTCATGCCTTTTTTTTTTCCTAGAGATGAATTCTTATGAGTAGGATTTGTTGCTGTTATTCTTTTTTTTTTTTTCTTTGAGACAATCTTGCCCTGCTGCCAGGAAGCAGGCTGGAGTGCAGTGGCATTATCTCGGCTCACTGCAACCTCCGCCTCCCGGGTTCAAGCAATTCTCCTGCCTCAGCCTCCTGAGTAGCTGGGACTACAGGCATGCACCACCAGGCCCAGCTAATGTTTGTATTTTTTAGTAGAGATGGAGTTTTACCATGTTGGCCAGGATGGTCTCAATCTCTTGACCTCGTGATCCACCCACCTCGGCCTCCCAAAGTGCTGGGATTACAGGTGTGAGCCACCGCGCCCGGCTGTTGCTGTTGTTCTTGGGTTGTATTGCTAGGCGGTCCTTCAACACATGCTGCAACTCACATGGTTATTCCCATTTTCCTCAATGCTTAGCCGCCATGTGTCTTGGCTAACTTTTTGGGGGGGAATGTAACAGATTTTTTTTTTTTTGCTGGGCCATGTTGTCCAGGCAATGTAACAGATATTTAAAAGTTATATTTAGTTCCTCATCATTAGTCCAATTTGTATTTACAAGTTCCTAATGAGGTTTTGCCACCTGGGTCTAAAATGCAGTTGGAGAAGCACAGCATTTGGACACAGGCAGACCCAGGAGTGAATCTTGGTTCTAGTTCTAGCTAGTTGGGCAATCTTTAATAAGTTACTTAAACTCTGCAAGGCTCAGTTTATCTGTAAAATGGGGATAATATCTACTTTACAGTGCAGTTGTGAGGATTAAATAAAGTTTGAGAAGTGTCTGTACAGTAAAATTCTGTGCTTTTTAATCTCTCTTTTCTTTATCATTGTATTTTTTTCTGAGACAGAGTCTCTGTCGCCCAGGCTGGACTGCAGTGGTGTGATCTTGGTTGCTTACTGCAATGTTGGCCTCCCACGTTCAAGTGATTCTCCTGCCTCAGCCTCCTGAGTAGCTAGGATTACAGGCACATGTAATCCTACATGAAATACAACAATCATTATATTTCATTTCATGTTAAATTATGTTTTCATAGTCTTTCTTCACCTACTAGAAGCTTGGCAGCGGTCTCATATATTAGAGTGATCTCCCTATTATTGATTGAAATTAACTCTTTATTCATATTTAATATAAATAGCTTCCCCTTTTTAATTGCCTCTACAACTTGCTTAGAGTTCTTATTCTCAAGAATTTTTTTTAAAAAGACATTCATAGACCTAAAGGTGACTATTATTGTTTCTCACTTTTCAGAATAATATTTACATATGTAAATGTTAAATAACTTGGCCAAGGTCACATAGCAGGCAAGTGCCAGAGCCAGCATGACACCCCGGCTATGTGACCCTGCTCAGCCTCCTGCTTTCCATCTCTCCCACCGAGCCTTGCCTTAGCAAGTTGGAAGTCAAACACCAGATTTCAAAAATACATCTTTCCCCAGCTATTAAACAAGTGTGTATGCTTTGTACATACAGATACCTAGAGCATCCTAACTTTAGAGAGTTTCTGACAGTGCAACAAACTTTCTTTTTCATCTTCATTTAATGTAAAATAATAGCTATTTTTCTAGGTTCTACAGTTAAAAATAAATACTAATGAACAAGTTAAAATTACCTTTGAAATAGCCCTCCTTGCGATGTGATATGAATGGCTATAGGGAGGAAAAGTCTTTTCTGTTTACATCTTCTAATTAAAGTGATAACAGCTCCTTTGTTACCTAGGTGCTGAGTGACGGTGGCTTTCATGTCTTGTCTGTTGACTACAGAGGTATGTGTTAAGGATGGCGTACAGAGATTTTTCAACAAGCAGAGGGCCTCTGATGACCCCTCATTTTGAAGGCAGTGACACTGTGTTTGCATTTTCTTGCTACCAGGATTCGGGGACTCTACGGGTAAACCCACAGAGGAGGGTCTGACTATGGATGCTATTTGTGTCTATGAGTGGACCAAGGCAAGAAGTGGCATCACTCCCGTGTGTCTCTGGGGCCACTCCCTGGGTACAGGGTAAGTGACATCTGCAGATGTGTCCGTAGGCAGGTCCTTGAGGCTTTAGTGTCCTATCAAAGGCAGTGGCCAGTAGTGGAAGGATCACTGACCCAGGAGACAGGGACTCTGCTGATCACTTTCACACTCCAGAAGACCTTGTCATCTTAGCATGCTGTCTGTAAAACAACAGAGGGTCCCTTCAGCTCTATGGTTATCTTTTACATTGAAGTCCAAGTCTTTCTGAGGGTTTTAAAGAAAAGGATCCTTGGCCCAGTGGGGTGGCTCACACTTGTAATTCTAGCCCTTTGGGAGGCTGAGGTGGGTTGATCACTTGAGGCCAGAAGTTCAGCCTGGCCAACACGGCAAAACCCCATCTCTACTAAAAATACCAAAAATTAGCTGGGCTTGGTGAAGCATGCCTGTAATCCCAGCTACTCAGGAAGCTGAGGCAGGAGAATCACTTGAGCCCAGAGAGGCAGAGGTTGCACTAAGCCGAGATTGTGCCACTGCACTCCAGCCTGGGTGACAGAGAGAGACTCTGTCTCAAACAACAACAACAAAAAACAACAATAACAATGAAAGAAAGAGAGAGAGAAAAGGATCTTTAATTTAGGGCCTGTGGAACCCTCTGAAATAGTGTGCAAATGCTGTGTCTTTACGCATTTTTCTAACCAGAGAGCCCAGAGCTTTATCAGATGCTCATACCAGAAGTTCTGTTTTATACTGTTAAATTATTGCTTAACATACATACTAATTTTCATTGCTTTACAGGGTTGCAACGAATGCTGCAAAAGTGTTAGAAGAAAAAGGTAATATATTATGCTTAGGTGGTTATAATTTCCCATCTCTTGGCTTGAGATGGGAAAGTAAAAGCAGTCAAGAGACTATGAACATACCAGACACCTAAAGCATCCCCACTTTGGATGGTTTCCGGCAGTGCAACAGGCTTTCTTTTCTATCTCCATTTAATATAAAATAGTAGCTGTTTTTTAGGTTCTGCAGTTAAAAATAAATGCCTTTGAAAGAGTCTTCCTTGTGATATAATATTAATTTAAATTACAGGATAAAAATGCTGCATTATTAAATGATATGCAGAACCGGCTTTCTGCAGCCCTTCTTACTAATATTTGTGTCAGTGTTTCTCAAAGTGATCTGAGAGCCGTTTGTATCACAATCTTCGATCCTAGCTGATTTGAAGAATTAGAACTTCTGTGAACAGGGTCATTTTTCAAAAATCAAAATTAGAATTTACTCCATATATAGAGATGCTATACAAATGCAAATATTCATTACCCTAATGCCATGCAATTAAAAAATTCCAAAGTCAATTATCTGCTTGTGTGTGTGCCTGTGTTTTGCTCATCTTTGTATTGCAAGTTATTTTTGATTATGGGCCACACATAGTTTATGGAAAATCATAGAAATTATTTGAGACTTGAAGTGATATTATCTTCTTCTAGCTATAATTTACTCTTCTCCTGAAAGGCAGTTACAGTAGGGACAGATTACCTTAATTCAATTAGAGATTGAGCTGATCTGAAGCTGGCCTTTAGTCGTTATGATGGCTGGCGTATTCCCGGTTCCTATTACTCCTAGAGTGTAGTTCTTTGAGGGCACAACCAAAAGCCTGAGAAATGTACTAGGGTCCTCTTTCTTGTGAGATCCTGAACTCTAATTTCAGTCATTTGGATTTTGTGAGATGCTGAAAGTTTTGTCTCATTTATGATCCTCTCAGCCACCACTATTGCTTTCAACTGCGTGGTGGGAAAAGGCAGCTCAAACTCTCTGGACGTCTTTCTTTTGGTATTGCTTCCGTAATTTCTCACTGACCAGTAGCCCTCATAACCATTCAAACATTTGTGTATACATACTGTGACCCACCACACCTTTTCCAATTGTTCTCAGAAGGAGTGTTGAGCTAAACAACCTAGTCAATCTCTGACACATTCTTAGCAATGTGCTGTAGAACACTGTCTTCCTGTAGTACTTCGTTTTCTTAAGCTATCCAAGCTGCGAAGAGCTGGTTGTGTTCTTAGAAGAAGGTAGTGGTTTTCAACTATCATCATGTACACAGAAATCTCTTGGGGAGGGAGGGGAAGGTAGAAGCATGTTAAAATGAACATTCTCAGCCCCCGCCCTGGGGAATCTGACTCATAAACATGAGGTGAGGTCCAGCAATTTGCATTATTAATAACCTTCACAACTAATTTTGATGCAGGTAGTTCAAGTACAAGATCTTGAAGACCCCTTATCTAGGAAAGATGGTATTTGAATAGGGGGGTTACTGACTTCTTTCTTTCCTTCTTTAATTTTCAAGGATGCCCAGTTGATGCTATTGTCTTGGAAGCTCCATTTACCAACATGTGGGTTGCAAGTATCAATTATCCTTTGTTAAAGGTGAGACTCTGGTTCATCTTCACAAGGTATCAAAGTAGGCTATTTTGATACAGTGTAGGCTATTTCTACACATGTATGTTTATTGACTGTCTTCCTTTTCTTAAGTAGTTTTATGTGTTTTGCAGTTATTCTAATCTGAGACAGTTTATTAACCAGTTTCCATAAAAGGGAACCTATGGCTTTTGGATTTGATATTTTATTTTCTTCTAACAATACCTCTTTTATAATTTAGTGGTAGATAGAGTTGCCTTAAGTTTATTATTTATTTTTATTTTCTTTTTAAAAGTGAAAACAAACATTTTATACATCATTTTTGAGCCCTATGAATGGCAGGCATACATCTTTTGTACTTTTATCATAAGAAAGTTTCTAGAGAATTTAAGGAAGCTGCCAAATACTTTTACACAGTATCCCAGATAAAGAAGACAAACTTTCTAAGAAAATTAAGTACAAAGAATTGTGTCACAAGATGCAGTTTTAAAAAATATCTATTGTGTAGACTATCCTAACTTTATGATCTTATTCTATGCCTAATGCTCAATTGTTTATAGTTGTACATTCATATAAATGTTAGCAAGTGAGAGGTGGGGAGGGAGAGAGAGATATGTATATAGAGAGAGTGAGCACCTTAGAGGGATACATGGCCTCAATTTTAAAATTATTCTAAATTGTTGTTTCAGACTGTAAGATATCTTGGAGTATGTTACTCTGTCAATTTTAGGAATCTTTTGTACCCTAAACCATTATAGATAGAATTCCATCATAGATGGAATTTCTGGAACTTCTATTTTCAGGAAAAAGTAGCTCACCACTTCCTAGGACAGCCAGTTCACATAATCACATGCTCCTGAAAATGGCTTTACTATCTAAGCTTCAACTAAATTTAGAAATCCCCTCTACCATGTAAAATACTCAATGCTGGTAATTTAAGATATGATAAATCAGGCATTTTCAATTGGTTCTAGAAACTGAATATTCATTTTAATATAATATAACCATTAATTGCATATCTATCATATTACTCTAAGTCATTACTAATAAATTCATTCAATTGTAGGTATGTAACGTAAGTCAGATGCAATCTTTTTATTTAGTTTGTTTTTTAAAAAATGTGTTAATGTTGAAATTTAGCAAAACAAGAAAAATACATTATTTAATGAGCAATTATAAACTGAACACCCATGTAACTGTCACCTATGTCAAGAAATTAGCATCGCCCACACTCCAGAAGTCTGTATGTTACTTCCCAATCCAGTAAGCCTTATTTTAGATATAATCCTTGGCCCTTAGACGTAATTCTTAGATTAATTTTATGGTAATCATATCTATGCATTTATTTATAGTGTTACCACTTGTATATGCATCTCTAAGCAATATTGTTTTGTCTGTGAACTTTATATAAAAGCAAAATGATATAGGATATTTTTTCACCCAACCTTATATTTCTGGGATTTTATTCATGATGCGTATAGTATAGCTGTAGGTTGGTTATTTTCATTGCTATATACTATTCCATTTTATGTACATACCACAATTTATTGATCTATTTTGTGTTATTTGTATTACTTTCAGTTTGGGGAAATTAATAATGTTGTTGTTATGAATGTTCTTGAACCCATATTCTGTAAACATGCACAAGAATTTCACTGGGGTATACCCTTGGAGTGGAATTGTGGAGTAATAAGGTAATCCATATGGCCAGCTTTAATAATTACAGAGCAAGTTTTCCTAAATGACTACCACTTTACTCTCACACCAATTGTGTATGAGAGCTCCAGTTGCTTAAAATCCTTGCCCTCATATTGATATATCAATATGGTTTTAATTTGCATTTCCCTGATAACCAGTGAGGTTGGGTAACTTTTAACATGTTTATTAGCCATTTGGAGATCATCTCTTGTGAGGTACTTCTTGTTCATGTCTTTTGCCCATTTTTCAGGTGGATTGTATTACTTTTTTTTTTTTTTTTGAGACAGAGTCTTGCTCTGTTGCCAGGCTGGAGTGCAGTGATGCAATCTTAACTCACTGCAACATCTACCTCCCAGGTTCAAGCAATTATCCTGCCTCAGCTTCCTGAGTAGCTGGGACTACAGGTGTGCACCACCATGCCCAGCTAATTTTTATATCTTTAGTAGAGACAGGGTTTCACCTTGTTGGCCAGGAGGGTGTCAGTCTCTTGACTTCATGATTCACTTGCCTCAGCCTCCTAAAGCACTGGGATTACAGGCAGGAACCACTGTGCCCAGCCTGTATGACTTTTTATTTGTTGAATTTCTTTGTAGATGCTGGATATGAGTCATTAGAGAATTATTTGTATTGCAGATATATTCTATGATTTTGTTTTGCCTTTTCACTTTTTCAAAATTTTGAGATGGAGTCTTGCTCTGTTGCCAGTCTGGACTGTAGTGGCATGATCTCGGCTCACTGCATCCTCCACCACCTGGGTTCAAGCGATTCCCCTGCCTCAGCCTCCTGAGTTGCTGGGACTACAGATGTGCACCACCACACCCAGCTAATTTTTTGTATTTTAGTAGAGACGGGGTTTCACCATGATGGCCAGGATGGTCTCAATCCCCGGACCTCGTGATCCACCCCCCACGGCGTTCAAGACCAGTCTTAGGCAACATGGTGAAACTAGAAAAAAATAAAAATAATTAGCCAGGTGTGGTGGTAACGCCTATAGTCCCAGCTACTATGGAAGCTGAGGTGGGAGGATCGATTGAGCCCAGGAGTCGAGGGCTGCAGTGAGTCAGGATCAAGCCATTGCACTCACTCCAGTGTAGGCAACAGAGTGAGACCCCGTCTCAAAATAAACAAACAAATAATATCTGAAATTCAGCCATGCTAAGATGAAAATGACAGATCATAACAAAGTGTACACCATGAATATTTGCATAATCGACTCATTTTGTCTTTAGCAAATATTTATTGAGTGTCTATTAAATACCAGGAACTTTTCTAGTTTCTGAGGATACCACAGGGAATAATAATAAGAAGAAAGTTGCAGTCCATTTGCCTGTGAAGTTCATATTGTTGATGGAGAAACATATCGAAGACAAATACATAATAAAAAAAATCCAGTAGTGAGAAGTGCTGTGAAAGTACTAAAATAATGTGACGGAGAATGACCGGGTGGTGGGGACAAGGTGCGATAGCTGGTTATGGAAAACAGCTCTGAAGAAATAGCCTCTGAGGTGAGACCTGCCTGAGATAAAGCCAGCTGATGGGAAAATCTAGAGATCTCAGGCTGGGATAAAAGCAAAGACAAGGGCCTTGAGGTGGGATCAGGCCTGACATGTCCCAGAGGCAGAAGGCAGCAGAGCCAGGAGGTGGACAGGAAGGGGCTCAGTGATAGGAGATGAGGCTGGAGAGGGAGGCAGGCAGACGCCAGATTCCACAGGGCCTTGGAGGCCCAGGTGGCATGTTTGGGTTTAATCCAATTGCCTTTGCAGGATGTTGAACAAGTGTGCTATGATCTGATTTGCACATTAAAGCAATCGTTCTGGCTTTCCTGTGGGAACTGGATTATGGAAGCATGAGGAGGAAGCAGGGAGCCACTTGGGATTGTAGCTTGATATAAGCAAGAGATGAAAGGTGGCGTAGGCTAAGTGATAGTGGGGATGGAGAGAAATGAATGGGTTTGGGATACATTTTGGAGGTAGGGTTCAAAGTTTGTGAGAAAGGTGCAATATTGCTCAGGGTTTCCATCCTTGACTCCTTATTTTCAGTTGAAATGGATGTTTCTAGAGCCTATACACTAACTTACATGTTGACTATGTGAGTCAAAACATTGTAAAAGTGGATTTAGCTAGCATTCTATTTCTTAGGATTTGCTATTAAGCAACAAATTTAGTATATCTCGAATGAGTGTTGTTGTATCTGGAGTCCTGAGGTCATTGTTAAAACCTAAAATGTCTTTTAAGGCATTGGCATATTAAATCATATTCAAAAGTGAACAATGTTCAAATTCTCTAAGATCAATTTTCTATGTTTTGCATATTTGCATCAGAATTTTTGACTAATCAGAATATTCTGTCCGCCAGCTAAATCAGTTATGTTCACAGTAGAAGCAATTTTTAGGTTTTGCATATCACTGCTTCTATATGGAGAAGTAAGAGTTAGTGGTGCCATTTGTATTTCTTTTTTTTAAGGAAATAAAAGCAAAATGTTAACAGTGATCATCTATGATGGCAGGATTATGAGTGCCTTGTTTCTTCTACATTTCTTCCTTTTTTACCAAATTCCTGACATGCATTACTTTCTAAATCCTACAAGTTTTTTGTTAAGTTTATCATATTTAGAGAGTCACTACTCTCTTTGTTACCCTGGTTCGTAATGAAAGACTGTATAACAAATGACATAGCTATGGGGTAAATATTAACTTTTTTTTTAAAAATAGATTTACCGGAATATTCCAGGATTTTTACGTACACTTATGGATGCCCTGAGAAAAGACAAAATAGTCTTTCCTAATGATGAAAAGTAAGTGAATGATGAAAAGATGTGCATTATTACTGTATCTAAAGGATTTTAGGGGAAACTGTCATGTGACTTACTGGATGGTAACATTAGACATCTGAGTATCTTTCTTATTCTTAGAATATTGTTCTGTGGTTCTTAGATGGGCACTAAGATTCAGGTAAAGTATTTATGAATTTTTAGTATTTGCTATTTTCTTCATGTCTAATTCAATGACTTCACCAACTCAGTACTCTCTCTCTGAATTCATAAAGGAAGTTGTATATTTATGGCCTATCAAGATGTTTTAAAGGGCCGGGAGCGACAGCGTGTACCTATAATCCAGCATTTTGGGAGGCTGAGGTGAGAGGATAGCTTGAGCTCAGAAGTTTAGAACCAGCCTGGGCAACACAGGGAGACACCATCTCTACCAAAAAATTTAAAAATTAGCCCGGCATGGGGGCACTTACCTGTCATCCCAACTACATGTAGGGCTGAAGTGGGAGGATCACTTGAGCCTGGGAGGTTGAGGTTGCAGTCAGTTGTGATTGTGCCATTGCAGTCCAGCCTGTGCGACAGAGTGACATCCTGTTAAAAAAAAAAAAAAAAAAAAAAAAAAAGACCTTTTAAAGGTCCTCTAGGGTCTAGCTACCATCCAGCTTACTAATGTGACAGCAAATCCAATGACTAGAATTTATAGAGTTAGCCTGTCACAGTTAGGGAATTTAAGAATGCTTCCAAATAGGCAGTTGTCGTGAATACTTTTTTCTATATCAACACACTTGAGAAAATCTAACATCCTCAGAGGTGTCAGTGAGTCACTGATACCCACTGATGGATGGGTATCAGAATTTTGGGGGGAAAGGGAAACATTGTTTGAGAAAGTAATTGGAGTGGGAGACATGACATTCTTCATGTCATAGTCCTTTTGAATTAACAAACTAGAGGATTAACCAGGAAGCTAATCAGACCTGTTCACGGAGTGTCCATCCTCTACATTTAAGCGGAAAAGTAAACAAATTTCTACAAAGAAGTCTGCGAGTCTGTCGTAGTTTTTGTTTTACTGAGGTTTTGAGTTTTGTTTTCTTTTCTAGTCTTAATAAAATATTTCAGATGTTACAAAATAAGGTGGAATAAAGAAGAATATAAGGTTCTTGTAACATTGTACAAAATCAGTGTTTCGGTGTTTTTTTCTTATAGTATTTCCAAAAATCACACAGAAGTAAATTAGTCAATTAAATTGAACGAGTAAATGGGAGAGAGGGAAACTTAGATGGAGAAAAAAAGCTACTAATTGAACTTTTTAAATGTAAGGCATTGTTATGCCTTGGAAGGAAGGAAAGAAATTTCTTGTAATTTAGACAGACCTCATGTTTTGCTAAAGCTTTAACTTAGAAGAGGAGAAATCGCAATGTATAACTCTTTAATTGAATGCTTCTCTTCTACTTGTCCCTAGCGTTAAATTCCTTTCTTCTCCCCTTCTCATCTTACACGGAGAGGATGACAGGACAGTGCCTTTGGAGTATGGAAAAAAGGTAAACTAAGAGCTCAATGCTGACTGAAACATACTTTACTTATTTCACCATTTTTTTTTCATTCAGCCAAACTTGGATTAGAGCCTAAAGCAGGGTCTCTGACATAACAGGAGATTCGCTACACCCCTAAATAGGCTCTACAGGTTTATACAATGAGCATCAGTGTCTTGGCTACTTAGCTCAAAGGAGTGTTTATGGCAGACTGGCTCCTCATCTGGGTTGCGTGGCGCCGCAAGTGTGGGGTATCCCAGGCTGCTGTGGGAACCTTCGTGTCTAAAATAGAAGAGGCAGACTTTTTCCTTTTAAACAAGCTTCTACTAGAGTGGGTCCATAGCAGTTCCTTGCCATTTTGCAGCGAGGTTCAAGCAGGGAAGGGTGAGGTTTTTATCAGTATTCTGTATTAGCTGAGCAGCATTCAGATCTTTAGCTGCAGAGACAGCCAGTTGTGGACATGGAGAGTTCTCATGTCTCTGACTTAATGGAACTAACTCCCCATGTTAGCTTTTAGGGAAATTGGACTAGAAAATCCACAGCTTTGAATGGCCAGCCTTTGAGTCTCTTTCTTTCTGTCCCTTGCAGCTCTATGAAATTGCACACAAAGCATATAGGAACAAAGAGAGGGTCAAGATGGTTATCTTTCCTCCTGGCTTCCAACACAACCTGCTTTGTAAAAGCCCCACACTATTAATAGCCGTAAGGTAAGAGTTGCTTTGCTAAACGTATCTTGCCCTTCAGGGCAATTAGGGCTGCTCTGGCTTACTCAGGCCGCAACATGAAAATGTGTAATATTTTGCTTACTCAGGTAGGGAAAGTGTGTGAGCTGATCCAGGTCCTTTTTCTACAGAGATTTCCTGAGCAAGCAGTGGTCATGAAGTCTCGGAGGAGTGGAAATCTTCAATGAAGACTTGGTCCAAACACCACCTGTGATGTGCATTTTTTAATATAAAATTGTACTGGGCGGGTCAGATGAGCTGAAGCCATTGATTTCTCTGTAAATCACTTGCCATTTTAACAACAGAAAACATACATGTTAGGCAGTATGGAATGTTCTTGTTTAGCTTATAATCTACTTTGTAAAACATGCCGAAACCTCACAATTTGGTAAAATTTAGATCTATCTAAAAATATGTAGTTATCAAACATCCTAGGGATATTTGTGAATAAGGTAGTTGCTATGGTCCGAATATCTGGGCCTGCCCCCCAGATTATGTTGAAACCTAACCGCCAATGTGATGGTTATAGGTTATAGGAGGTGGGGCTGAGCTCTCATGAATGAGATTAGTGCCCTAATAAATTATGACCAAAAGAGCTCTTCACCTCTCCTACCATTTGAAGATATAGTGAGAAGACTTCATCTATGAAGCATAAAGAAGCCTTCATCAGACACTGAATCCAGCCAGTGCCTTGCTCTTGGACTTCCCAGCCCCCACAACTGTGAGAAATAAATTTCTGTTGTTTATAAGCTACCAGTTTATGCCATTTTGCTTTAGTGGCCCACAGGAACTAAGGCTGGTCTTTGGTTTGGACTCAGATGGCAGTATAAGAAAGTTGCTCCCAGGTAGTTAAATTTTTTTGTATTTTAGTTCATTTAAATGGCATTTAAAAGTTCTAAGCAGTTTTCTAATTTTATGATTCGTTTTGAGGGTAAATCCTAGCAGTAGCAATAGCATCACTAGATTTGCTATAAAATAAGTTTTGGCACTCATGTGGCCCTTGGAAATCGATACTTTATTTTTAAGCTCTATTATATATACTTTCCCTTCGCATTCCCAGAGATACTCAACTATTAAAGATTTTTAGCTAACAAAACAAAAACCATTGAATGTTATAAAAATGTTCAAGTTCAGTAAGAAGCTATGTTTCCGAGAGACATTTTAGAATTCAATTTCCATTGACTTTGTTAGATTCATTGGATAGAGAAATCTTCAGATCCGAAGGTTCCACGTTCCAGATGTCCCGGGCATATTCTTTAATTGTTCGATCACTGGAGAATTTCCCCGAGGCAGCTATGTTTTTGAGTACCATTGTGTTCCAGGCCTTTGGATTCTGTAAACAACATATGTATATACAGCCAGGGTCCCAGTGCCCAGTGAGCTTTATAACAAACATCAGCCAAGCACATCCAAACACATTTCAGGAGGGAAAATGACAGGAATAAATTATAGTGAATTATAAATATTTTTGTTTGTTGAGAGGTAGAATAGAACGCACATTTCTCATAGAGTGTATTTCTCTTAGGAATGAAAAAAAGTATTTTTCACTCTAAGAGAAACCCTAGATGTAATTGCCTAGTTGGTAATTCCTGCTATGGTTAGAATGTCTTGACATGTAAGCCATATTTCTCATGATTTCTTATGAATGAAGATACTTCCCCTTAAACTATAGGGAAGGAATTCATTGCCTGCTAAATGCCAAGTCAAAAGACTTACCCTGTGGCTTACAGAGTTTGAAAAACACTACTCTAAAATGTTACCTATAATGCAGGCAAACAATTCACTGAGGGGCTTTATTAACCTTCTTAGCCTTTCTTGTTCTTTCTGAAGGTACGCACCCTACTGGGTTTACACTGACTCCCAAACACTCCACTGGGGCCTCAAAACAGAGTCAATTAAGGCTTTATCCTTAATAAAAATAAATCAAAATCTCATAATTTTTATATAAAAGAATGTGATAAGAAGCAATTAGTTTTATAACCTCTTAATTTTGTAAAGAACTCTAAATGTGTATTGGAATGAACAGAACGTTATTCAAAAGTGTTATCAATGCATTATAAATGCTTACAAGAAAGACTGAAACTACCATCATTCCTTAAGGTACAGCAAAACAGTGTCTGAGATTTGTTTATTCAGACTTTGGAAACTTCCTGTAATAAGAGGAGGATAGGCCGGGCGCAGTGGCTCACACCTGTAATCCCAGCACCTTGGGAGGCCACGGCGGGCAGATCATGAGGTCAGGAGATCACAAGGTCAGGAGATCAAGACCGTTCTGCCTAATATGGTGAAACCCTATTAAAAATACATCTCTACTAAAAACACAAAAAATGAGCCGGGTATGGTGGCATGCATCTGTAGTCCCAGCTACTCAGGAGGCTGAGGGAGGAGAACTGCTTGAGCCCAGGAGGCAGAGGTTGCAGGGAGCTGAGATGGCACCACTGTACTCCAGCCTGGGTGAAAGAGTGAGATTCTGTCTCAAAAAAAAAAAAAAAAAAAAAAGGAGGATAGAAGCTTCTTCTCTTCGTTTTCTTTAACTATTTAAATGGATAATGAACAGACTTCCCAGCCATATGGGTCATGTTTACTAAGTCTCAACAATACAATTATTGTTAAGAGTAAAAAGCTGCAATTTGCACTAATGAACAAGAAAGAATGAAGCAAATGCTGGGCTTCTAGATGAGCATCCTTTGGATTTGGGCCATAATTTCAACAGAGGAGACATTCACATTTGTCCTTGCCCTTGTTCATATTTTTCTTCCCTGCGCTGTTTTATTGACCTATCTTGAGGTGGCCATGCTCTTCCCTGTGTCTTTGTGTTTTTGGGACCAGTATATGGCTTTTCTCTCTAATGTACAGGAAGCAGGTAGTGAGCCCCTGAGCTTAGCTTTAGCACTGCCCTGCTTGTTTGTAGCCATTAACTTGCACTTATTCTGGTCTGTATGCCATTGGGGGACTGGCTATTATTCTGTTAGAAGATAAGGGCTGTAAAGCAGCACAGGCCTTGAATGGTCCTTTTTAAAATCCCAATGGGACATTTAGGGTGACTGTAGGAACTACCCTGTTATCTGCCTTGGGAAACAGAAAGAAATGTTAGTGAAACCCACCCTGGAGTATTGGCAGAGAGCTAGCCTCCTCCTGTATCCATTCCTCTGGGGTATATGAAATTCACTGAAAGTCTCTCCTATCAGAGATGATCAACCTTTTTACATATTTACAAAATATAGCTAGAGAGGTGTTTGATAAAGCATATAAATTTGCATGTGGAGGCTTATTCACATGGCTCTCCCTACCCCGTTTTTCCCCTCAGTATAATATTGTCTTCCTTATTCTTCTCCTTTCTTTCTTTTTTAAAAAATTCAAATATGAACCCCTTACTCATTCTACACTTTTATATTCTATTGATATAGCCCCCTCCATGAGAAGTCCAGGAGAGGTATTATTTTGCAATTTTCAAAGAATAGGGGTCAGTCCTTTTCTTAACAAACCATGGTTTGGCCTTAGAGTCATCATGTCAGGTTTTTCAAATACTGTTGGTTACCCTACACTCTATTAGGAAAGGATCTCTCAGTGCAGGGCTAGCATCTGTACTATGATGAAGCTACCATGGTGATTCTAATGTGTACCTCTGGTTAAGAACCTCAGTGTTTAAACAGGCTCCTTGCAGGAGGGGAGAGAGGGAGAGACCTGAACTTTGCTTATGGTGTCTTCTCAGTGCCAGCACAGTGCCTGGCATAAAAAGGATGCCCAACAGCCCTCTGAGGCTTTATTTTCTTAGCTTCTAGGGCATGCCTATTACAGAGTGGATGCTCAATAAATATTGAATTACTTGTGACTTTTAAAAAATTTGGATATCAAAAAATTTACAAGTGGCTGGGTATGGTGGCTCACGCCCGTAATCCCAACACTTTGAGAAGCAGAGGCGGGATGATCACCTGAAGTCAGGAGTTCGAAACCAGCCTGGGCAATATGGTGAAACACCATCTCTACTAAAAATACAAAAATTAGCTTGGTGTGGTGGCACGTGCCTGTGATTCCAGCTACTTGGGAGGATGAGACAGGAGAATCACTTGAATCCAGGAGGTGGAGGTTGCAATGAGCCGAGATGGCACCACTACATTCCCGCCTGGGTGACACAGCAAGATCTGCCTCAAAAAAACAAAAAAAAATTACAACTGCTGCTGAAATGTCAAATCTCAGCCTTGGCCTGAACTTGGGAAAAGTCAAGGTTTTTTTTTTTTTTTTTTTTCTTGATTGCTTAACGGGGACCTGCTATTTAGATTTAATTTTAAAAACCCACATTTTAATTAATCATAGCAATCTGGCTTTCTTTATCAATCTTGGCCATTTACTCACCATGTACAGCTGGCTGACTTTATCTTGACACTTGACATAGGCTTCATAGTCTGCGAAGACTTTAAACCTTTTATTTTGTGATTGGAAGGGAAAAAAACAGTCAAAAGCTTCATTAACAGATACATGCTAAGATTCCATGTAAAATAATCATTTGCTTAATATTAGGCATGGCTGGTTTACTAAACTCATATTTCTGTTTGTAAGAATTTTTACCAGCCTTCAACCTTCTTATGGTTCTTCTCACATGTGAGAATGTCATCACTTGGATATATTTGGAAGTTAGGAGTATCAGTGGAAGAAGAAAAAGAGAACCAGATTTGTGTGTGTTATTCTTAAACGTTGCCGGCATCGTTGGTGGAGAATATCTAACTTTTTCCCAACCCTAGATTACCTGAGCAGATCACACATCCACGCTAATCTATATAAGTGGGTTTAAGTTGGTTTAAGATTTTCTTGTTGGTTTTAGAGTTGGTTGGTTTAAGATTTTCTTGTCCTCCTTTCATGATCCAAATAGCACCACCTTCTTGTGGGAACTCACCTGTCATGATAAAATAACATGTTGATGATGTCTTTGAAGAGGTCAGGCTGCTTAGGAGAAAAAAAGCCATTGTCAATTTGATCGATGACCAGCTTCAGCTCTGGAAGTGCCTCATAGTATTCTTTTGCCTTGTACCTGTGGGGTAGGGGTAGGTGGGTGATAAGAAAAAAGCTCTGTTATTGCGTGTGATTAACTGCGTTCACTGTGAAAAAATGCATTCAGAAATACTAGCATTCATAGAAGTCATTACAGATTTCACCATGAGTATATATAACTTTAAACTAGATCTAGAAGTTTTTCTCCCTGTAAATTTGATTCCTGACAACCAAAGACACTAAGAACAATAGATAATGAAAACTGCAAGGCTTTTTGAACTGACTGAACCATGGACTATGCCATAGTCAAGCTGTAGTGACCCCTGTGACCCACATGTACATCTCCAAATGGCCTCCTGGAGCCAGAAAGTCTAAGGTAACAGAAAAACTGCAAAAGGAGAATAGCTAGCTCCTGCAGTGCCTAATTAACTGACCTTACGACATTCTAACATTGTTCCTGCCTCAACTGTTAAGTCAACTCGTGACATTGGACCTTGTGACACCCCCCCCATCTTGGCTTACAAAAAACTGCCCTAAACTGTAACTTTCCACTACCTACCCCCAACCTATAAAACCAGCTCCTGTCCCACCACCTTCTGCTGACTCTCTGTTTGGACTCAGCCCACTCGAACCCAAGTGAATAAACAGCTTTGTTGCTCACATAAAGCCTTTTTAGGTGGTCTCTTTATTCAGAGCGTGCTTAACAAAAACTCTAGTCAAAGAGCAAGAGTCGAACATGGTAGAACACAGCAAGGTCCATTTCAAAG